CGAAACTCGAACTGTCGCTAATAAATCAAATATATTCTAAAAAATAACATGAGCAAGACGAGGTGTCGGCCTAGAATGCTTTCCCACGTGATAAGCATCCCTTTGATAGCACTCTATTCTACCTATGCTGCACTTCAACTGCCCCAGTCCCCACTGCTCCCGTGCCGCAGAAATATTTCATTTCCGGCTAATTCGTATCCGCTCAAACACCGGAAGTTCCATATTTCGGCTCCACTACGCTGTAGAACACGAATTAGAAAAACCATTAGGTTTATTATGGCTGTATTGGCCGAGCACCGCATATATAACAATACGTTATATAGCAACCTAGAAGAATAAGTATAGGGCTTGACTGAACCCCGAAAAGAAAAGAAACCAAAGTCCTAAAGATTTCGAGACTACAAGACGTGAAGCCATGTTGTCCTTTACGTAACCATCCTTAGCTGCGACACTTTTCCATATGCCTCTGAAAAACTCTATCACTAACCCCGCTGTTGGCAGCCCTCGACGCTCCTCCCGACCGGAAAGAGTGAGTCCCGAATACAGAGGGATTCGGAACTATGCTCTGCAGACTTTTAGTTAACTGACCTCTGAAGGTTGCATACGAGATATGCTTATCAACTTGAACCAATTTGTAGGACGACTTGGTTTTTAACAAGCGGTCGGAAAATAAATTCACTAGAGTTGGGGCTGATATCTAATTTCTTCAAGTACTCTTTGAGTAAGAAAGCCGGGCAAGCATTCTCCTTGGATTGAGCAATAACCGCTTCGTCACCTTGCCTAAGCTGATCAGTCTTGCTTTTGCCTACTTTGATAATCATGAACCCTTCATAAAAACGAATATGACTCATTCTATTATTAAGAACCTCCTCAGATATGGAAAAACCCGCATAGGATAACACGTACAAACACACGTTTCTAACTGCAGAACATTGGACAAATCAGCTCCCTCCACAATTCCTTTGAGGACTTCAACTGATAAAGGCTCTTTCATATTGGGTCTCCCAGCCCCTAAAATTCTCTAGCAGCTTCCCGAACTCTAGAAACTTCCTGATTATCAGTAAGAGACACCATACCGGCGATCTCGTGGGCCCACTTAATAGCGTAGAAAGCAGTATCGACGGAGCTAAAGGAGTGGTGGATTCTAATACATGCTGTAAATAAATAGCTACATGAACAGGTTTTACTGGAAGAAAATAACTGCTCAATTTGCTTAAAGCAAAGTCCATCCATTTCTTGAATGCCCGATGATATATGTTTGTGGTGGCCGGAGCCCTCGCTGACAAATCTGCTCGTTTTCAATAAAAGAACTACAAGCGTAATCTGATGTGTCAGAATAGACAAATCTAGCGGGCAGTTGGAAAGGTATCCAGAGGCAACAAAAATTAAGAGAGTCGACGTTGTCTATCCAAAACTTCAATTCATCAAAAGCTTCTTTAGACAACTCAACCTTAGAATTTCATGACTGTTTCTGATTTACAACGGTGTACAGAGCATATGTCATGATTCTGGCTATACTTCCAACACAAGGAGTGAGCGAGATGACTTGGCCTACCACAGATGCTACATCTCTAACTTTGAAAATTTTACAGTCATCCTTACGTAAGAGATAAATGCTACTCTTTAGCTTTGAAAACCTTCGCTCGGTAACCGAAATAAGACCTTGATAAGTATCAAAAACAGTGCCGAGCCAGGAAATAACTTGAACAGGCTCCCGAAGGGACTTCTCTTGGTTAATAACAAAGCCGTACCAAGTCAAATCAGCGCGAACTGTCAAACTGTTGATTTTGGCCGTGATAGAATTGATACCACCCCCTGAGCTGTCATCGAGAAAAATAGCCATGGGAATTCCTTTGCACCTCCATGAAGTAAGAATAGGCTTTAATAATTTGGTGAACAAATACGGTGCGGTTGACAGCCCGACAGGTAAAACTGTGAACTGAAAATACTTCACAACATCATCGCCAAATCTCAGGAGAAAGCTAAGTATTTACGGTGATCATGAAAAATTTCAACGTGATGGTACCCGGACTTCAGGTCGAACTTGAAAAGAAAAAACCCCTCAGATAAAATTTGAAGGGCAACTGATACGTCTTCGCATCTAAATTTACGCTTAAAAACATACAGATTAACATGTTTCAAATCAAGAATTAATCTCTTCTTCCTGAGAGCTGAATGGAAATGGAAAGTGGATCAACAATATCCGGCTTGCGATCCAGAATATCAACACACTTAGCTCTTAACAGGTAGGAAATAGCCTCAGAAACAAAATGACTATGGGTAACGGCAGAGAGATTGTTAGGAATGACTTTAGGAGGCGAAAGAGTCACGAACGGAATTTTATGACCGTAGCGGACAACGCTTAATATAAACCCTGAAGCGCCCGTAATTTCACCCCTTTGATCGTAGCACAAAGACAAACGACCACGAACCGAAGGGTTGTTATATTGCCCTGAAGTAAATTCATAATTTAACAGCGACCTAATTTTTACTGACTCATCAGAGTGATCTGAATTTGAAAGATCATCGTCAGAAATGTTACTAGAGCTATTTGAAACAATGGAATTGCCCTCACCTTGGAAATGTTCTGGATCGCCGGCGGCTGGTCATTGACCGGTGGTTGACTTTGCAGTGTAAGGACACTGGGCTATCCAATGTCAAAGTTTATTGCGGGCAAAACAGGAACCCGGTTTGGCTTGTGACGCTCTGGTCTGCACTATGGGAATAGGTTTACCACTTCATTGGCTAGAAGCAGCGGCTGTGACCGTCGTTAACGCAGTGGGCTCTCTTCTATTTGTTGGCCTTGACTTCAAACGTCCGCTTTGGTTAGCCTGGGTACGTGCCCTAGCCTCTGCTTTAATAATCTTCCTCTCGTCGTCGGAATCCTCCGCAAGATCGTTACGCTTGTATTCGCGAATTAATGACTACCCAAAGTCTGATTTATCAGCAAGCAGAATATGTTTCTGCCTCTCAATCAATAACTTCTCGCCTTTCTCAAGTGAAGCTTGAACTTTATCAAACTGACGGGCGAAACAGGCATCTTTAGCCTCTTCGATAGCGTCGCTGACTTTGAGGTTGAATCGATATTGATCTTCGTTACCTCTCTTTCTAAACCGATGAGGCTCATCGAACTTGAGCTTCTTGATTTCTTTGAGGTGGGAATCTGCGGTGACCGCATGCGAACGTTTCAACTCGTTTAAGGAGTCATCAAGCAACGATTTCGTAGACGCTAAAAGATTCTCGTTCTACTTTGAAACAGTCGATTCCAAAATTCTGACTACTTTGGCCTCGTCCATGATTGAGAATAAATCACAAGGAAGACATAAGTAAAAAAAAGACATGGGCAAGACGAGGTGTCGGCCTAGAATGCTTTCCCACGTGATAAACATCCCTTTTACAGCACTCCATTCTACTCATACTGCACTTCAGCTGCTCCAGTCCCCACTATTCCCGTGCCGCAGAAATATTTCCTTTCCGGCTAATTCGTATCCACTCAAACGCCGGAAATTCCATTTCCTTTCACTGTTTTGGGTAGTTTTCATGCACTCAAAATCATTCTATTATAGTGAGAGCGTCTGAAAACAGAAAAAATGGGTAATGCAGTGATTAAGCCTACCCCCTTGACGTTCTCTCTGGTCTCGCTTGTGACGGTGTGTTAGGACATTAATTTACCAAAGGTTCCAAACCTCGATATTTTATTACAATGAATAACGGATGAATGTTATGACAAAATTCATGGATATGGATCGAAGATTCGAAATCTGTAAAGTAATGCGTTAACAAATTAGTTTCAGTTCATATCGATAATATCGAAAGAAATCAAGGTAAATATTTACCCATTGGTTCTAGGTGTCCATAACACTGTCTAGCGATAGAAAATCTTAACAATTATATCTGTTATGTCATCAAATTATAATGCGCAAAGAAATTAGAATTTTGCGCAATACATCGCTGTCCGGGCGAATTCTAGAAAAGTAAGGGCCTACCTTTCTTTTTTCTGTTTAAAGTAAAGTCAAGGCTTGTGGTGTAGATTGTAGGCAGGATCTTCTCTTTATGTCTCAAATTTGGCGTTAACGAGTACATTAGTTAAAGTTTCACATGTCCTAAGCTCGCATTCCCATCTCACTTTTCTATGATACCGAAAAGAGATCACCAATGTAGTCGCATGTTAACTCGCTGTCTTTTGTACCGCAAGCAAAACTGAAGTCTTCTTCTTCGGATAAGGAATACAATGCTCAACACGGAAGATGTTTCGACGGAAAATGCCACTGTGTTGGAACTCATGTTGGAGACGGCATCCAATGCAGAGGTAAGAGACCAAGAAATTTAAAAAATACAACTGAGACAATTCACCTGCGGTCCGTGTGCTTTTTGACTGCTTTGAGTGACTAGCATCCAACCATTAAAAGAAATGGCTGCCACATTGAAAACTGAGAATTGTTTGTAAACGATGCGGAAAAATCTAGGTATATGGAGTTCTGAAAGCTTTAAATCTCTTACAATGTTCAGATAGTCACTCGCCATTAGAACAATATGACGTTGTATGATAAACAAGGTAAACGTTATGAGTTTGATAAGAGTGACTAGCAACGAATTTCTCTGCACTTTATCTCCCCTAAATCTCACATCAAGTTCACCAGAATAAAGGAAATGATCATGCACCGACCAAATTAGTTCTTGTTTGTCAAACAAATTATCTTCGTCAACCCCTTAAGAAATGTATTGAGAAAAGTGGGAAGAATATGCATCATATTAATGTTGGGACGTAAGGGGCTTTTACAACATGTACAAATTTTGTCCACGATGGTAGCCGAGAATGAAACAGAGAAACCTTATTAAATACACATCCGTGATGCATTAATGAAATGTTTGCGTCATAATTGCGGCTGACAGGTCCTCAAGAAAAAAAGGTAATATGAAACCAACCCAAACTAGGTTAAACAAAATTAACCAGTTTTTTGAACATCTAATTTTCACATGTCACACTGTCATTTAGAACTAGTTAGAAAACTCAACCTTTTTCATTTTGTGTTCTTAAATAATATAAAAATGTGTCTCTTAACCTTATTATTCTTAGTCTTAGATACACCTTGCTGCCCAAAAAGACAAACACAACATCAAAGGCATGCAAAATTCCTACTCCTAGTCTATGCCACTCTTCCCCCCCCTCGGAAAAAAGTGTCAACAATCAAAATTAATTTCAGTCTCACATGGCGATTGTTTGAACAAATTATCACAAAGTTCAGTGAATTCTTCCCCTTCAGTTTTATTTCTATTTCAGCACCTCTTCATGAATGCAACGAAGACATAAACTGTGATAAGCGAGCAAAGTGCGATGAAGGATAATGTATATGTCAAGGGAAAATGACAACTAAAGAGTGACTAGCATATAATTTCCCCTTACAAAACATCCCTGGATCACATATTAAGGTCACGATAATAAAGGAAATGATCAGCGACAAAAGAAGCTCTTTAATTCTCCTTGCCAGTACCTCAGGAAGTGTATAGAGAACAGTATGGGGAATATACATGCTGATGTGTGAGGGGTTAAAGTTACTAAGTGGAAATGTTAGAAAACAAATGGTCAGATGTGTGTTCATCGAGAAATAGAACACTTGGGAGGTGTGAAGAACACTCAAAAGGCTACGTAATTGCTATGTACTAGGACTCGAGTAACTTTACCGCATCCCTCAACTCTCCAAACATTTTGCGTACCTCATATCTCGATGCACGCACGCTGACGCAACAGCCAATTTTTCGTTTGTACCTTAAGAGTAAATCTTCAAGTGTCCATTTCGTAACCTTAACTTTTAGTTTCCCTTCCATGTTCACCGGACTATCAATGCCGCAATGGCGGAATGTGTGTTGTGTATCCCTTATTTTCCAGCCAACATAAATGCGGTTGTAACAATGGGTTCATCAAAGCTAAGAACGGCACATGTACAGGTAGGCTGTGAGATAAGGCATTGAGCCCGAGCGTACAAATTGTAAAGATATCCGACTCTTCACAAGTAACATGTTCTGTTTTTCACACAGGTGCCTCATCCATAACGACTGTGATCAGAATTTGTCAAAGTGCGTCAGGGGGATGTGCAGATGTAAGGACGAGCTAATCAAAGAGGGCAACACTTATAAACACGATGAGAAATATGACGGTTGACACTAAACATGTCACGCAAGAAACGACCATAAATTTGAATTGATTTAATTTAAAATAAGCTTCATGCATTTTGCAACAAAGTTAATCAATTTTGTAAAAAAAGGAAGAAAACATATGCATTATTATTTATGTTAATTAACGTTACTGTCAACAAAATCTGGTAAACATTTTCAAAATTTGCATATTTGCTATCTAGTCAGAGAAAGCATGCAAGTCTAACTTTATCTCCCCCCCCCCTCCCCTAAAAAAATTGTAAAATCTTACAAATAATGCGAGATACAGCTTAAAAAATGTCTTAAGGGAACCTGTACTAAAGAGCGTAAGGTGTCATGACCAGAAAGGTTCCCAGCAGAGCCCTGACATTTTGTGTGGGCTTTCATCTGCGCCTTCAATTTGGAAATCTTGCTTTTCATCCTGTGTTACACTGCACAACAAGAGGGAATTTCTAGGAATTTCATCATAAATAGAATAGTGGCGAGAGACCCTGGTTCAAAGAAATCGATGAATTTTTGGATTTCATTGCATCCATTGTCAATCGTTTTCGCTATTTTGCAAAATGACCACTCCCAAGGATTTCTAGGGAGGTGTTTGTTACTTGTTATTTAATATTGCACTAAGTGGTTCGCGATGCATTTTATTGGCCAGTGGCATGACCACTTTGACACACGCTTAAAGTTGACATGTGAATACAATGAATTTTTTTTTTTTACACAAATTATCTCTTCTTAAGCAAGTTTTTAGGGTATCTAGATTTGTTGGATATTCATGAAAATTGGTAGGAATGTTTGTCAGATATTAATGCTCCAAAGTGAGAGGGGCTTTTACCAGATTTGAAATATTTTGTGACGTCCCAGAATGTGACAACAGCTGAAATATTTTCTTTGGTCGGACTTAAGAGTAGATTTTCTCAGGAACCAATAGGAATATTGAAAAATGTAAGCCTCACATACTTAGCTTAGTATCTGCCAAGTGATACTGTCCAGTTTGTTTGGAGGTCCATTAGGTCAAACAGTAATTCTGTATACTGGTAATTCAGTAAAGCAAACATCTTTAATTTTGTGTCTAAAGGCTTGGGCACACCTATTTAAAAAAAACTGTATAAAAATTTGTCCTTTACATAATCTGCACTTTATAAGCTTTACAATGACATATAGTTTTCTACAGTTTCTGTAAAATTGGAGCATGTGGACAATTTTTTCAGAACACAACCTCAATTGGCAGTTAAACCTTACGCAGATAAGAGATGTAACTTAATTGAGTGTCAAATTAAATATTTAGTTTTATGTTACGTACACTATGTTTCCAACAAGTACAACTGACTGAATATATGATTTTGGTAAACAATTTTGTTGCCAGGAAAACACATCATTTCTTTATGTGCAGATATTGATGAGTGTAATTATAAAGACATTTGCACTATGAATTCTACCTGTACAAACTCCATAGGCAGTAATAGATGTTGTATGCTGCTAAATGAAACTGAGAAGTGTGAGGATAAGTATTGTTTGGAGGTACCAGGGGTGGGTTACAAACTCCATAGGCAGTTATAGATGTTGCACGCTGCTGAATGAAACTGAGAAGTGTGAGGATAAGTATTGTTTGGAGGTACCAGGGGTGGGTTAAAAACTCCATAGGCAGTTATAGATGTTGTACGCTGCTGAATGAAACTGAGAAGTGTGAGGATAAGTATTGTTTGGAGGTACCAGGGGTGGGTTACAAACTCCATAGGCAGTTATAGATGTTGTACGCTGCTGAATGAAACTGAGAAGTCTGAGGATAAGTATTTTTTGGAGGTACCAGGGGTGCGTTAGAAGAAAATTTTTTTTTCGTTACCAGCTCCTTGGGCTTTTCTTATGTTCTAGCTTCTCCAGTTTTCTGCCCTTGATGCACTAGAAACAACTTGCCACTAAAAAGTTCATATTTGACCTTCTAACAGTAAACAGAAAACCACCTCTTGTACTCATTAGCCATCAACCATAGCTTAAATCCAATTTATCATAAGAAATTTTCTATCTATCCAGTTATTCAGTTATTCTAGTAATAAATGTCTACCCAACTTATAAAGAAAAATTTTCTCTTTACACTAATTTTGGAAGGAAATGTATGTTACAGTAGGCTCAGTACAGTTGGCTGTAATTAGACACAAAAAATTGTATAGTCAAAGTTAACTCAGCCAATCATACTTAAAGTCCACTCAACTAAATCCACCAATCACAGATTTGATTACAATAACAGCATAGCAACAACCATTTAATTACCCTTCAAAACTGGGGAACTTCAAAAGCCATTTCAAAAATTTGCATTTTGCTTTAATTGTCAAAGATTGTGATGGTTATATTTTGGATATTTTACATAGAAAGTCCCTAATTATTTGTTTTTCTTGGTTTTGTTTTGTTTTTTTTTTTATTTTGGAAATTGTCAAGGTACACGTAACCATTATAATCAATTGGCGACAGGTCCAATTGGGTCTGTAATCATACTAATGATAAACAAATCCAACTCCTGCTTCGGGTTGTCCAATTTTGTAGTCACCCACATGATTACAAATGAAACTGAACTGACCACTTGGACTTTAATAACCATTTCTTGTAATTCAAGGCTAATACTACTTCTGCTGACTCTACCAAACATGACATAAGAAAGATATAAATACTCTGTTCTTTATGCAGGTGCAAATAAACCAAGCCATATGAAAACCAACTCATCCAGGTCTCTCAGCACCACTGGTGGCATGATCCTTTTCATACTAGCCCTTCTGGGTAACTGTGCCTTTGATTAATGTTGCAAGATTTTGGCACCACATCTACTGTTTTCTGCATCTCTTCTTAATTTTCTTCCCTTTCTTCAACAAGTAAGAAAAGAATATAAATTTGTTTCATCAACAGTAACAGATTGTATGCTGTGCTTTACATCTTTAATCCTGTGTTTCACCCCTCTCTTACAGCAGTAAACAGTGACATTCATATGCATGGCTATTAAACTAAAAATCAGTTTTGTAAACAAAGTGAATAAACCTGAAAAAGCACAATTCTCTTAGCAATGGACTTATAGTCAATACTTGGATGGATTCTCTTGCAGTCAGACATCGAAGAGTTGATTAACAGTAATAATAATTGAGCCATGAGGGTGTAATTTGATCTGAAAACAAATGCACAACATAAGAATTCAACAACTGTGCAACAGTTCAGTTCTATTTTAAATCACAAGTTTGATTTTAGAAGAATTCAACTTCATAACACAAAGATCAACTGCCACTTACAGCTGCTACAACCATTTTGAAAAGACACAAATTGATGAAGCAGAGGATTTTGGTCAGTATCCGATGATTATTCCATTGATCCAGAAGCACTGTCTAAAACAAAGTTAAATATTAGCACTTAAGTTTTAAAATTGGGCTAATTGAACTCCAGTTGATCCACTCAGTTTATTTACTACATGACAATTTTTCTCTCTCAAGAAGATGAGATGCAAATCTAATTGTTGTGATTCAATCAAAACAGCAACTGGAATAATTTAAGATTTTGACAGAAGTTAAATGCCTTTCTCATTCAGCTGTTTTGGTGTTTTAATGCTGTTCAACCTTGGCAGTCTGGAAGTAAGAATGGGGCAGCTGTTTTCCTCATATGTAATATGGTATGCATATCAAATTTCTTTAATCTTTAATCACAGTTCATAACCATACATTGAACAAAAGTACAAAAATGGTTGATAAGACGGTAGTAGGGGGAAACTAAATTCCCATGCTAAGATATACCCTCCAAATTTGGCATGCACCTGTGTGTCGACCAAAAGTAAATTGTTGCTTGATCAATGTCATAATTCCCTGAGCCAAGAGAGATCTACAGTGCAGCTCAAAGATAAAGGGGGCCAAAATATGCGCATTTAAGACTGGCATAGAACAAGTCTAAGACCAGACACAGACTAGTCTATATAGTGCGCACCTACTGTAAGACCCATCTACCTAATCAGTATGTAAATATGAGCAAGAAGATTGTTTTCTTTTGTGGAATGGTCATTGTTTAATTCAATGGGCATTGTACTTGCAGTAAAAATTGATGGTTAAGCTGCACTGAATGACCATCAATCCTGTTGTGTTCTTACATCTGTGTTTGTTTATTCACTGATTTGGTACTGCATGTTAACTTAGGTTAATACAGTTTTTGCTTGCCGCCAAATTTCATCAATACTTGAAAGAGAGAAAATGTCTTTTGAAACAGATCATATTGTGCCTGACAATCCAAGACATTGACACTACATGCAAACTCATTTTACTGCCTCCCAAGCTTAAAATTAGATAAAACAAACAAACAAACCTTTCACTTTTAGAAGAATTAAGTACATGTACATGTAGATTTGATCAGCCTAATTATTACAGACAGTTTGAATTACCAAACTGTTTCCAATAAAGCCAAAGGAATAAATTACTGTGTTCTCATCATGATGCTACTTAAGTCACAACAGCATCTCACAGACACTTTATAGAAAACAAAACTTTGGCAGAAAAAAAACTATTTGGTGTAACTGGTGCATCATGGAAACTTAAAGGAAAATCTTCTCTTTGAAGAGAGAGCAATAAAACTGAAGAACTAATTTTTTAGTTCTTGCTGTGATGTTATGTAGAAGAATGGCATCACACTGATGAATGATAGAAAAACAAACATTTTCCTTACAAGAAAAATCTGATAGCTGAGATCAGTGCAACATGGAAACTTTGAAAACAATCCTTTTATTGTGAAAGGAGAGCATTTTATAGTTTGAATCGGCTTTAGATATTGTAAAACATAATATATATTATTTTCAGTTTTTGCTGTGACACTGCAATGATGTTACAGAAGACTGTAGACTGGCTGGCTGTACGAGTTGCAGCAAGAAGTTTACAGCTGATGACTTTTTGCACAGAGAAATGATCGTTTTGAACTAGAACACCATAAACTTATCCTTCAAAATTTGCGAAGGAATGAAGACACCAAAATGTTTGCATTTAAATATTGACTTCAATCAATTCAGCTCTAAGACTTACAGAACAGATTTCTTTTTCATGTTAATTTGAATAGCCCACTGATAATAATATAATCACAAAACAAAAATTCTCAAACAAAACCATGATTCTTTGTTCTTAACCTTTAACTCCCAAGATCTAATTGTTAATTCTTCCCTCTAGCTGCTACATATTTCCTTGTAAATTGGTTACAAGAATTTGGTATTTGATCAAATACGTGACAGGGTGCACACCAGACTCTTTATTTTCTAAATATATCCAAAGAGCTACCATCACTAAGTGTACAACGAGGAACTCCCAGATGCTAAATATTCCTTTGTATAAAACAGCCACAGGACAAAGAACTTTCTACTTCAGAACAGTCGAACTCTGGAACTCATTAGCCTCTACTCTTAAGTTGAAACCAACACTAAAGGACTTCAAACTTTGCCTGAAGAGAAGCCTTTTAACCTCAAACCTTTTTAGAGACTTAATTGCTTTTTTTATTTTTAATTAATATATTTATTTAATTAATTAATCATTTTATCTATTTACTAGTCAAATAGCTCATTAATTTACTAGTATATAGTTTTAATTGTTTCTTTATTCTGAAAAGCCCATTTGGGACAAATAAAGCATGTGTGTACATGTTCTCACCAACTGTTTGCTAGATAATGCATGGATACTGTAAGGAGAACTTACATGTTAACCACATCGGGCATCAGGTTAACATGTAGTTTGAAAAGTAAACTTAATTTCTTGTTACCAAACAACTCACAAAATTAATCGCAAAAAAAAAATTCTCAAACAAAACCGTGATTCTTTGTTTTTAACCCTATAACTCCCAAGATCCAATTGTTAATTCTTCCCTCCAGCAGCTACACATTTCCTTATAAATTGGTTACAGGAATTTGGTATTTGATCAAGATAACAACTTCTACCTGATAAGTTTGAGTGTTCTCACCACCTGTTTCCTAAATAGTGTATGAATACTGTAAGGAGAACTTACATGTTACCCACATCTGACATCAGGTTCACATGTAGGTTAAAAAGTAGAGTTGATTTCTTGTCATCAAACAACTCTTTGATTTGGGGCTTGAATAAAGCAGGTTAAAGATATTCATTAAATTTACTCCAGACCCTGCACATTACATTTCCTTCTGACAGATCATTTTTGTCATCTAATCTATAGTTTATTATTGATGAGTTTTATAATGAATCAGTTTAAATAGAGAAACCAAAAGACCAAACCACATTAGGGTTTTTTTTATTGTGAGCTTCTCAAGTTTTTGCAGATCAGTAACATTTTCTGCTCTCACACAAAAAAGGGTTTGCTACTTTGCTAAGTGTTATTGTTACAGCATTGATATTAAGTTGGTTTTTCATCTTTTAAAATAGATAATATGATTGGTGTGAAAGACTCTATCCCCCACAGGCTCCATAAGTGTGTGGTTTACAAGTTTTTATGTGTGGGCTGTAATGCTTGCTATGTCAGCAAAACCTCCTGGCATTTATGTTTTGCAAATTTCATTCTTTTACACAACCATCCCTTTTGGTTATGTAAAAGGTCCCTTTCTTTTCTTTATGCGGTGTATTTGTGAAAATTTACGGTGTCCGGTCATTTTGATACAAAGTCATTTCGATACAAAGTCGTTTCGATACAAATAGAAATCAATTCATTACACATGTAAAGTTGATTCAATGCAAACTGAAGGCGTTGCAATACAAGTAAAATTGAGAAAAGTTCAGTTGAAGTGTTTTAGTTTTCGTCTTTGATATTTTCGATCAATTGACATTGTAATACCCAGTTTTCCCGTGACTCAATCGAACAAGTTGTATTACTCAGTTTCCCTGCGGCCAAAAAGAGCAAACTTTATTGCATACTTATTTAAATTACTAAAGTACGTTTACATTGATCATGACTTTTGCACATGTGGTGGCTCCTAAAAGAGCCATTTTTAGCGACCTGAAATCGTCCAAAGTGAACGCACTGGAACTGGTCACCGCGCTATCTAACTGTGGCCCTACATGGGTTGACCTTGGGGCAGATGGAACACTGCCAGGCAGTGACTAAGCCTCGCCTTCTCTGTAGGGTGTAGCGGTACCCCTGGCTGTCTATCATCTTTGGCCGGCCTCTTTTGGAACTGTTCTCCACGATCTCGTAGGTCACGGCAAAGGAAGACAACGTCTCAGCTGGAGTGGGGTCATGAAGGGAGGATTCTTTGTGATCATTACTGTACTGGTTCTCCACATCAGGCTGGGATTCTTTGGGGTTCTCAGTTTGTGTACTCTTCGCATCAGGGTGGGATTCTTCAGGGTCAATGAAGGTAAGCTCTAGAGCTCCTGATTCCAGGTAGCTGGAAGGATCAGTGTAGGAGTCCCGATGCACACTGCCAGTCAATTTCTTTTCCATGTCAAACAGCTGCCTAGTAAACTTCTTGCGATATACCTATTGAATCAAAGGTCTCTAAGTGTCAGAGTATTAATAGTGTTGAAAACTTACCAGTGTTGCAGATTCTATGATTCCAGTGAAAAAATCCATCACATTGAATGGCTTGCTGTTTGGGCCTAAACAGGTTCAGAATGAACATTCTACAGGTCCCAGTGTGTTTTATACACTGATATTAGTTAGTTTAAAATGTTTGGATTCTTCTATTTGCTATTAATGGGGTAAAATTAGCAAGTTTTTTAAAACAATTAGTTTACATGTCTTTTGATATGATAATTTACAAACCCGCCTACCCACACGTCAGAATGACTGCTATTTCCCCACAGGTCACATAGTATTTGTGTTTCTTAATCTTAGGTGTAATATGTGTTGGAGTTATAGAAAAAGTCTCAAAATCATTTGTATAAATCTCTGTTCTCAATAAATAAACCAAACCAAAACTTAGTCTCGTTTACATTTCTCATTGCGTAGGAGGCTTTGGCACATGTGTAGGTTCGCAGAGGTATGGGTTTGTTTTAGGTTTGTGTTTGCTCTTGTATAGTATTCTGTATCAAAATGATTTGAAGTGACGTGAGTTTGTATCGAATCGACTTTACATTTGTAATGAATTTACTTTGATTTGTATCGAAACAGCTTGTATTGAAACAACTTTGTATTGAAACGACCATAAACCAAATTTACTGCTACATTCACACTGGATACCCAAAAGGAAACATGAATGTTAACCAACAATCTAAGATTTCAGGGCTCAGTTCGCTTTTAATTGAGCAAGGCTTTAAACAACATAAGGGCCTTCTTTTGATACATTTCTTTAACCTTGTATGAAAACTCTAAGAATGAGATGCAGTTAATTTTATTGTGAATTAATTCATCAATACATTAAACTTGCTTCATGTTGAAGTTTATCAAAATGAAATATCACGAAGATTACCAACTGTATTCCGTGTTATTTGTTGTCGTTGTCCTTTCTACCGTGATTAAAAAATGTTCAGCGAATTGAAGTCAGAGATGAAAAATTGAGGATGGCTAAGGTTTGCACTTTTTTATGTGTTAAATTTTTGATCAGCGCCGGTGAAAACTAAGACATGACAATCAACTTGATTTCGGCACAGCTTTCTAAATCTATAAATTTGATTTAGTCTTGGACGACTTTGTTCGTTAAAAAAAAAATTAAATAAAAATAACAACATTAAACAGGAACGAGTCTTATTCCAAAGTCTAACCGTTTCGTTGGTGACTAGTGTGAGTACATTTCGTTGGTTCATGGTTAAACAGGAGCTCATCGTAAACAACTCCATCGTTGGGTTGCTTGGTTTTTACATAGTATCGCCATAACTCCTAATAACTCCGATCAAAATGTATTGCAACTGTAAGAAGGTCGTGCTCAGAAAAGATATACTGTCATAACTGAGAAGAATATTCAGTAAACAACGGGAAAAACGACGACGACAACAACTTACTTGCCGTATCTATAACCATCCTCAGTTTGCACTTGTTACATAACTCTCATAGAAGATAATTTCGTTGTCCTTAGAGTGGTCTATAAATTAAAACCACTGGTTTACTGTTCCCGCGTGGCTCGGATGAAGTGAACAGATAATGTCCGCCATGTTTGAAAATTCTGTTATATCTTGTACCAATCCTTTGCGCTTGCGCTGTTTAGTGCAGGTTTTTCGTTTCTTAACGTGGGTCTGTGTGGCAACCAGAACTCACTGCTTGAATTTATAATGTATTTTATCATTGTTTTTCCGTGAGGTTTGACCCATGGATTACGTTTCTTTAGAAAATTATTCTCTTATCAATATGTGCTTGCGTCATTCGCAGGTTCTTGACATTTGGTTGATTTCGACTCAGTTGTTGTTTTTTTCTTCTCGTCATCCATGTTAGTTTGCGCCAGCGTTTTAAGAGAGGATGTCAGCATCCATCGAACAAATTTGAAATATTGTGGCAAGTCGCCCAAAATTCTTTTTATCATCTACTTTCGTATTTTGTAGCCCAATATGTCCTAATAATTGTGGTGTAGTTTTTTGGTGAAAATATATTTTAGTTTTCGAGAAATTATTTTTTTCGTTCGACCGCTCAAATATACAAATTTTTACCGTGAATATTGTGACGAATTTACTTGACTTCCGGTATTTCTGTCAACATAATCCTTTGTTTTATCATCTAAACTTCATCCCCTGTCATAATTGAAGCTGTCAAAGAAATATTTATTTTTTGGTGAATATTTTTGTCCGACATACTTTTTCTATG